GGTAGAGCGTGTGACTCGCAACCTCAGGGTCGTGAGTTCAAGCCCCACATTCGGCTTGAACTAAATTTAAAAAACCAAGATAAACTAAAATAAAAAAAACAAACAACAAGAAAACGAGCCAGCTGAACATCGGGCTCAAAAGGCAAAGCATCACTTCCCTACTCTGGGGGACGGCATGTAAGAAAAGGAGCTGAGTTTTATCGCATCCCCTATTACCGGCACCCCTACGGTTACCCCGTATCCCCACTCCCACCCACAACAGAGAACCACTGCCCTAACTGAGGAGATAGTAAGTATAAAAGGAAACAGTTCTGTTATCTTCTCACACACCTCACAACTGATTTAACACACCGGTGAGTCACACTGTTGTGGCCCCCACGTCACCTGGGTTATGCACGTGTAAACAAACAATGAAACTCAAAATGGACACCATGCACCCAGCAGGCTTGGCAAGGCTCACAGACCCTCCGAAGAAAGCTTTGAAAACAGAGAATGAAATACAAAGGACTACAAAGGAAACCAACTGTATTATAATGCGGTTTTTTTTTGTTTTTTGGTTTTTTTCTAGGAGAGAGAGAGAGAGAGAGACAGCGTGAGCAGGGGAGGGTCAGAGAGAGAGGGAGATACAGACTCTGAAATAGGCTGAAATAGGCTTCAGGCTCCGAGCTGGCAGTCAGCACAGAGCCCGACGCGGGGCTCGAACCCACGAACCGCGAGATCATGACCTGAGCCAAAGTCGGACGCTTCACCGACTAAGCCACCCAGGCGCCCCTATAATGCGGTTTTTAAAACATGAAGAAAGCCTGTGATACAAGAGCTTCTTTAAATAACATATTAAATAACAAGATGTAGGGAAGCCTTCTGTTCAGGTCACAATCTCCTGGTTCGTGGGGTCACAGGTTTGAGCCCCATGTCGGGCTCTGTGCTGACAGCTGAGAGCCTAGAGGCTGTTTTGGATTCTGACTCCATCTCCCTCTGCCCCTCCCAGCTCATACTCTGTCTCTCTCTCTCTCAAATACAAACATTAAAATAAAAAAGTAAATAAATAACAAGACCTATCAGCACACCTAATGATTGCCATTTGAAAGCAGCGATGAGTAAAAGTGGTATTTCGAAGTATCTGTTCCCACAATAGCGTGACATGAAAATCTTGATTTCTATTGGTGACCAAGTCACAGGTCCTGCTAATGCCACAGTACTTTGTTTTCTATGTTCACAGTGAACAGAAATGCTGCATTTCGGTCAGAAGTTAATGAAAATAAAGATGTAATATCTGTGGGGATGAGCACTGGGTGTTATATGGAAACCAACTTGACAATAAACTATTTGTAAATAAATAAATAAATACATCAAAAAAAAAAAAAAGATGTATTTCATTTCTTTCCAAGTCCACAGAATCCCCAAAGTCCCTCTACAGACCTGAGGTCCCAGAACCTGAGTTTGAAAGCCCTGATCAAGAGCCAACTATATCTAAATGTTAACCTCTGGGGACACGTGGGTGGCTCAGTCGGTTAAGTGTCTGGCTCTTGATTTTGGCTTGGGTCATGATCTCATGGTGGGTGAGTTGGAGCCCCGCATGGGGCTCTGTACTGACAGTATAGAGCCTGCTTGGGATTCTCTCTCTGCCCCTCCCCTGCTCTCTCACTCTCTCTTGAAATAAATAAATAAAATAAACTTAAAAAAAAAAAGAGTTAACCTCTGATCATTCATTTAACCAACAGTTAGCAAATATCTACTTGGCTCTAAGCGCAAGTGCCACTGAAGGAAATACAAAGTAAGACTTGGATGCAACCACACTCCAAGAATTTTCAGAATCTCTGCTCCGTGTTTACTTCGCTTCTCCCAATTTTAGTATAATTTGTGTTATCTACTACCAAATCCACCAGAATTTCTTTTTTCTCCCTCTCTTCAGGATATAACTAAAAGCGGAATGAACACGTGGAAAGAAGCCATGGAGTCTGTTCAACTATACTACTGAAGTATTTTAGAAGCTGGACATCAACGGGGCACCTGGGTGGCTTAGTCGGTTAAGCGTCCGACTTTCGCTTAGGTCATGATCTCGCGGTTCGTGGGTTCGAGCCCCGCGTCGGGCTCTGTGCTGACTGCCAGCTCAGAGCCTGGAGCCAGTTTCAGTCTGTGACTCCCTCTCTCTCTGACCCTCCCCTGCTCACACTGTCTCTCTCTCTCTCTCTCTCTCCTAGAAATAAATAAAACATTAAAAAAAAAAAAAAAGAAGAAGCTGGACATCAGGGCTATGGAACAAATACTAGGAGTCCTCCTTGCTTCCTCTTCCTCAATAGTCAGACCAGCCTTGCCCAAACTGCAGACATGGCACAGGGATGAAGGAGGCAGTTCATACAAAAGTTCTCCCCAAATAGTTCTCCCCATGGATGGTTCCTGTGACGCTGCGTATGTAAGTGGCTAATCTGTGCAGAAGGGACCCAGGAGTCTCCTGTGCCAGAGGTGGCCATGCGGTGTCCTGCAGAATCACAGGAGGGTCTCTTAAAGAAGAGTAAGGAAGGGGCGCCTGGGTGGCTCAGTCGGTTGAGCGTCCAACTTCAGCTCAAGTCATGATCTCTCAGCTCATGGGTTCGAGCCCCCTGTCAGGCTCTGTGTTGATTCCTCCTAGCCTAGAGCCTGCTTTGGAGCCTGTGTCTCCCTCTCTCCCTGCCCCTCTGCTTGTGCTCTGTGTGTGTGTCTCCCTCTCTCAAGAATAAATAAATATTTAAAAGAAGAAGCAGAGTAAGGAACACATGGGGGATTTTTGAAAAAGTAGTTCTGTGGCCAATTCTACTGCAAAGTGGTCCGAGGAACGAAATACAGAAGCTGCCAAGAAGGTCACTCGACACGGTTCTCCACCCAACACCACATCTCTTGCTCTTACAGATACCACAAGTCAACAAAAGTGACTGGCAAAGAGCTTCCTGCACACAACTAGACACGCTGGAAATTCTAAAGCTCCAATGTGAACACTGGTACGAGTTACATGCTGCCTATCTGCCCTGATGTGGATAATTCTATTTTTATTCCTATCGAAACTGATTATCTGAGTGTTCACAGAGACTCGTAGGATTTGTCTTACATATAAAAACACAGGTCAGTTTAAACAAAATTCCATTCTCATTAACATCGAATAGAGAAAATGTGAAAACAGCCCCAGATACATGCTGAAAGAGAAACTTGCACTTCCAACTTGTTTATTCTAAATGATTTCACAAATTTGGGAAAATTGGAGATCACTCTGTATTGAAAAAATAATGACAGAAACTTACAGGTGTATTAGAAGCTGGTTTTGAACCACGTTACCACCGAGCAGAAGGACTGCTATACTTTTTATTTCTAATGGGGACACAATGGTATGCAGGAATGTAAAGATGTCACCTTAAAAGTGATGTCACCAATTAGACTAGGCTAAAGTTAACGTGAATTTTCAACAGTCAGAGGCATCACGACCAAGGAGAGCTGGTCTGTCCTATGAACTTCATAGGGCTATGGCGAATTTCTAAAGAGTATGATTATTTCTACAAAAGCACCTCCTGGATGAACATTGGAAAGATTGTTAGCATGACTTTTTAAATTAAAATTTGGGCAGTTTTCCCAATCTGCACAACATCAGGTTCCCACCCTTGTTACCACACATGGGGGGGGGGGCGGGGTACAAATCCTAGTATACTTCTCACCCTACCAGGTGTCAGCTCCGCAGTCCAAGGCATGACTGGCTCACGGTGGAAGCAGTGTTTTGAGTTTCCTGAATAACCAGCTTAGTGGCTCTCACACGGAAGCCATTAGCCTTGGAAAGCCAAGCTCGCAGATGTGGAGAACAGATTGGTGATGGCCAGGGGCAGGGGGGTGGGGGGGAGGGGTAGGAGAAACAGGTGAAGGGAGTCAAAACGTACACACTTCCAGTTAGAAATAGGTCACGGGGATATAATACACAGCATGGCGACTATGGTTAATAATACCGTACTGCATATTTGACAACTGCTAAGAGTAGATCTTGCAAGTTCTCATCATGAGAAAAAGAATTTTAATATTTTATTATTTTTTTCATGTTTTATTTATTTCTGAGAGAGATAGCCGGCATGAGCAGGGGAGGGTCAGAGAGAGGGAGATACAGAATCAGAAGCAGCCAGAGCCTGATGCAGGGCTCGAACCCACAAACTGTGAGATCATGACCTGAGGCAAAGTCGGACGCTTAACTGACTGAGCCACCCAGACACCCCAATATTTTGTTTGCTTTAATTTGTAAAAAATGTTTAGTGATTATTTAGTTTTGAGAGAGACAGCGCACATGGGAGCGAGCACGAGTGGGGGAAGGGCAGAGAGAGGGGGCAGAGGATCTGAAGCCGGCTCTGTGCAGATAGCAGAGGTCATGATCTGAGCCGAAGTCAGATGCTCAATGGACTGAGCCACCCAAGTGCCTCATGAGAAAAAACACTTTTTTGTTAACAATGTATGGGAAGAGATGTTCACAAGACCTATGTGGTGATCATTTTGCAGTGTATACAAATATCGAATCATGTGGTACACCTGAAATTAATATAATGTTATATGCCAATTACACCTCAATTAAAAAGTATAAAAAAAATAAATTATCAGCCTTGGTAGGTGTGTCTTGCTGTGTCATAAATAATACTAAGTAGCCAAGATATTCCCAGTACCTCTGGTTTAAATGCAAACTCCTTCCCAGGGAGAGTTTCTAAGTTCTCACATGGTATTTTGAGAAGGGGGGAAATGGGAATATTTTCAAGTTCTTCTGTACAGTCAGGAGAAAACTAGTTCACATGAAAATTCATACTTGGTCCCCACCACTCTAAGATTTCTATTCCGAACACTCAAAGTCAAGGCCTTGCACGTGGCTAAACCCTAGTGCCAGGGTTCTTGGCACACCCATCCTTAAATGGCCAGCCGGAAGACCCGCTAACCAGCGCCAAGCCCCACGCGGGGCCACGGCGAAGCAACACAACCCATCACGGACCAGACCAAAGGGAACTACTCACGGAAGTACTTCAGCGTCTCTTCAATCTGCTCGGTTGTGAGGTCGATGTTGGCATCTGGAGAAATGAGGGGCGTGTGGAGCCAGTCGTCGTGATCATAACCGTAGATGGTGTCGGCTCTTAACTTATAATGGGGCAGCTGCTCCTCGAGCAGGCTGATGATCTCGACTTCCGGAAGATCGGTGCTGTTGCACACGTCTAAAGAGAGGAAGACGGGAAGGTGAGAGCCCAGGACTGGTCTAGGCCTCGCTGATGATCTAAGTGACCTTGCGGCCGCAGCAGGTGTCTTTGGCTACTTACCCACAGCATGGAGAGACCAGATGAGGCCATGCGGGCGGGGGCTTTCTCCTATTTAAATTCCACTCTCAAAACTTATAAGACCCACCTGAAACATTCACTTTCTTCGAAGTAAAGCCACCACTCCTGTGCTTTCTGGGCTTGGTCATTCTTCACAACCCTTTCTCTGGCCACTCTCTTTCAATCATTCTAAGTATAAGCCAAACCAGTTAAAATTGCACCAATATGCCTAACTTCTTCTCACCACTCTTACCAGTGAAGCCACCCCCCACACCTAGGATTCTGCCTTCATTTAATTCATTCATTCAACTGTTTATCCACCGATATTTCTTTCCATTCATCCGTCCAAATATACCCTGAGTTGCAGAGACACAGGAGATACAACCATCAACACAACAGTTATGGTCCTACGCTTGCAGTGCTTGTATTCTTGGGGGCTTCCAACCAAAGTAACCGGTGCCCCTCCGTCAAGGCAGAGCTGGGACACCACCTCGTCCCAGATGTGCTGGTGTTCTGAACCCTTCAAGCAGACTTAACCTCTCTCCTCCCTTCTGTGTTCATACAGCATTTTGTCAGATCTTCTTTGGCTGCACTTATTAAGTTCTGCCTTCTGGGTAGTGTTCAACCCATCTCCCTGTGAGATGGCAAATTTCCATCAATCGTTGTTCTCAATCCACCACCCGTGCCCTTCACCCCTCACAGGTCCCGTGCTCAGGGGGTGTGCCATAAAGCCTGTGAAGGTGAATCCATCCATATAAAAGCACATTAAAGAGGCCTTTTAATTAAACTGTAAAAAAAAAAAAAATGCAAAGTACCCAGACAAGCCCAGTCTTACACAATTTCTGTACCCCTCAGAAGAATGAAATAAATGTTAGTGGGGGGGCAACCGGGTGGCTCAGTCGGTTGGACACCTGACTCTTGGTTTTGGCTCAGGTCATGATCTCACAGTTCATGAGACTGAGTCCCACTTCAGGCTCTGTGCTGATAGTGTGGAGCCTCCTTGGGATTCTCTATCTCTTCTCTCTCTCTGCCCCTCCTATAAGAACTCTGTCTGTCTCTCTCTCTCTCTCAAAATAAATAAATAAATACAATTAAATAAATAACCTAAAAAATAATAAATGCTAATGGGTGAGTGCTAATTATCTCTCAACTGATTCTGCCATCAGTCACTATACTGACTCGGACCCATGACAAATGGCAGGTGTGAACAGTAATGGTCTTGTCAACTCATAAATAGACCAAGGCATCTGTGGTGCTCAGGGCTGGGAAAGAGAGAAGAGTTAACTCAGTCTCTTGTTCTAGGAATGAGCCTTCCAAGAGAAAAACCACTCAAAAGATAAGAACAGAGTTAAGAGCCACAGGTGCTCTGGCTTTGCAGTAGTAAACAAAGGTGGGGGACAGGGTCAAGGAGGAGGGCAGAGTACGGGCTTCAATCTCCCGTCCCTTGTCCCTCTCCGAAGTGCAGGGAGGGGGCAGAAGAAAACCCTCTGGAGATCCATGACACCACACAACAGCCGGGGGAAGTAAGGGAGAGGTGACAAGAGATCGCAGTTATGAGTCATTCCCGAGGACGTGGAAGGTGGCATCAAAGGAAAGGAGAAAGGTCCACCCTGAACACACACAGAGGAAATGAGTGTTGCCAATGGTGTGGGTCCTGGGGTGCCGGTCCTGGGGTGCGGCGAGCTGGGGGGCGGGGGGAGGAGGGAGCAGGAAGGGCCCCGGGCAGGCGTTTGCTAGAGAACCAAAGCCAGCACAACAGGGAAGACCGGTCCCTTTGCTCCTCTCTGGGCTGAACCAAAGCAAAGGCGGCGGCAGGCAGTGGCCACATGGCCGCTCACGCTCCAGCAGAACACGGACACACCTGTGCCCAGAAGACTAGCTGTGCCAGAGACTTACCCAAATCCCTGTGTCCTTAGGCTGTAAGGCCACACGGCTGGGGGGAAAATACAGAAGCACAGGCAGAGAGAGCGTCCAGTGACCCAGGGCTTCCCTTTGGGCAGGAGTGCACTGAGAGCACCTGTGAGACTCCCTCTACCTCCTACAACCCACACTCCCCCCACCCCTTCTTGCTCAATTTAATTTGCAAAGCTTTGTTGCAGAGCATTTTGATGCAGGAAGTCAGTGTGGTTTTTCACGCGCTGATGAAAGAGAAGAAAATAAGTACAATGTGAAGACATTTAGAATTTTACTTGGGCCTTCTGGGACTGGCGGGGGTCAGCATCTGACCATTTGATTTCTGTGCCTCTTGTGGGAAATGTCACTGCGAGTGCGCGCTTGGCATTTCAGCCCGCTGAAAACCGGACCGGAGCCGCTCTGCCACTTGGCAGGCGTCTGCCGCCAACAGAAGTTACGTCCTCCCCAGGGCCAGAGCCAACAGCCTGACCTCAACACAAGTGTGTCTTATTTCTTCTCACCTCCCACCAACAACCAAACGCCACCCAGAGGCTCGAGATGGGCCCATAACTGAGCGAGTATTTCCTTCTCTCAGGATCAGGTGAAGAGGAAGTTCCCACAAAGCTCATCTTGACGAGAAGCCTCATGGCAACAAAATGGCAGCCTTGTGAGAAAGAGGACGTGGGGTCAAGGAGGGCTGACATTGGTGGCATCTCAACTGAACTGAACATCTCAACTGGTCCCTCCACCAAGGGCCAGGCCAGCCTACACCTAGCGGAAGAGGGAGGTCACCGACACACCCGAGTGACGCATGCTCACAACAGGCTAGAATCGTCCATGTCACTGCTCTGGATCAGGGGGAAGGCAATAATCTAAACTGAAAATTCCTTCTAAGAAGTGTCACTTTTGAGCATGTTGGCGGCTGCTCAAACCCTGAGCCTTGACCTGTCCTTCCACATTTCCAGGGCTGAAGGTCAACCTATGTACAGCATGAGTCCTTATGTCCAAAAGAGACTGTTTTCCCAAAAGCACATGATGGCTGGCGAGATAAAATATCAAAAGGCGAGACTGTGCCAAAATGTCTTTTTAAAAAACTCTGTGTGTTTGATTTTGCCATAATGTGACCAGTCATATAAACAAAGCAAGTTTTCAGCTCCCTGGACGCCCAGAGAATCAGAGCACTGAGAGGGATTACAGAGACCAATGGCCCTGGGGACCTCCAGAGGAGGGGACACCGCATTTGCCTCATGGAGAAGCACCCAAGGCCTGAGGTTGGGTAAACATGGTATGAGGGCCTTCGAGATTTCCCCTGGAATTCCTGCACTGTTGCAAGCCCAAGCCAGCTGCCTTCAGGGCGCTCCCTGGCCCTCCAAGCAACCTGGACACGCATAATATTTGCTCTGGTTTGTAGATGAGGAAGCTGAGATTCACAGGGGCTGTGCTCAAGGCCACGCAGGTAAGTGGCAGATCCCGTAAGAGAAGGCTCAGCCGAAGGATTGAAAGCCGTGCCCCGCCCCATGCCGCCCACCTCCCAGGCAGGCACATGAGAAATGCTGACAATTTCCCAGCACATTCTCATCAGGAAGTTTTTGTGACAACTTCACAAGTATGGTAGCGATGTTCAATTAAACACACTGACAAATTAGGGAGATGTCAGAATAATTTTCCCTTCCAGAGCACAGGAAGCAGAGTGGAGAAGTGAAGCAACTTGTCTACAGGACCACGAAGGATCAGGGGCCCGAGAAGGATGGCCCTGACCCCCTCTCCTGGAGCTGACTCAAGCTCAAGGTGTGAAAGGACACTGTTGGCCCAACCTGGAGGAAAGGACCCCTTTATATGCCTGACAGTCATCATTTCTTCAAAACTCTAACCCCCATTATTAACAAGACATAAACGTGTTCTCAGATAAGGGATCAGCCTACTGATTGCACTCAGCCCCCAGCAGGTCCCTGCCTTTTGGCAAATGTGCAGCAACCACAGCCCAGAACCCACCAAGCCGCAGCCTGTAAAACCATCAAACGGCCAGGCTCACACAGGTGGTCAGGCTGGACTGGCCCCTTCGCATCTTTCCACCTCCAGTTACTACAACAGCCCCCTGGCTGCTGGCCACACTGCCACTGGAGCCATCTGTGGAAAGATGTTTCTAAAACATGGTACTGCTCTGCTTTAGAAATGTCCCAGCTCCTCAGGGGCACCTAGGTGGCTCAGTCGGTTAAGTATCCAACTCTTGATTTTGGCTCAGGTCACGATCTCACAGTTTGTGAGTTCAAGCCCCGTGTGGGGCTTCGGGCTGACTGTTGAGCCTGCTTGGAATTCTCCTTCTCTCTCTTTCTCTCTCTCTCTCTCTCTCTCTCTCTCTTTCTCCCTCCCTCCCTCCCCTCTCCCCGCCTCCCTCTCTGCCCCTCCCTCTCCGGCTCACACACTCTGTCACTCTCTCTCAAAATGAGTAATGGGCATGGAGGAGGGCACTTGCTGGGATGAACAGTGGGTGTTATATGAAAACCAACTTGACAATAAACTATACTAAAAAAATAAATTAAAAATTTTTCTAAAATACTAAACATCAGAAAAAAATTAAATAAACAAAAATTAACAAAGAAGCTTTTTAAAAAAAAGTTAAAACAAAAACAAACAAACAAAAAAACAAAACAAAACCACTCCCAGCTCCCTATGAAGTACTTCATGATTCAGCCCACACACACCTTCCTAACATAGTAGCTGTTAGGACAGGGGTTTCCCAATATCCAGTTTCTACTTCTTCCTTTCGGTAATGTAATTCCCAAGGCGTGGCTGGGCACATGGCCACCTGGCTAAAAACTACATTTCCCATCTCCTCTTGCAGTAAGGTATGTCTCTATGCCTGGTTATCAGGAGGTGCACAGAGCTTCCAAGCCACGCCTTCCCCACCTGTGGCATGCAGAGAGTGGGCTAGTGCTGAGAACCTCAACCACACAGGTAAAGGCAGCAACACCAGAGCAACCCACGATGCCTGGGACCTCCTAGTGGGG